TGTTTTTTCACCACATCAAAGATCTGCTTATAGGTCTTTTGTCCCCGCTGCAAAGGATTGTTTTGCGTCCAACTCCTGGAAGGTTGCCTGGGACAGACAGTAGACGTGCCTACCAGGTTGGTGACTGAGCAGGCTGGGCAGCCTCTGTGCCCCTCGATTAGTCCCTGCAGCACGGTGATAAGGTACCAGTGGCCCTGGAGAAGGTGGCAGCCCCGATTAGATGTGTTTATGGATTTTCACCCTTTTTTGAAGGGGTGTTGACAATCCACTGTCGCTGTTTTATTTCCTTAGCAGTCCCCCGCCTTCTGTAACGTTTGTCCATTCGTGTGTGCCCAATCCCATGGAAGGGTTTCTTTTTTCCTGTTTTGTGTCCAGCACTGTCTAGGATGCCGGGCACATCTAGGCACTCAAAATGCACATTGAATAAATGAATGAATCAGATACTGGCTACCAAAGGTAACTTCCATCTCAGATCCAGGTTTTAATGGCATCCCTTCCAGGAAACCTTCCTTGTCTGCCCCAAAGCCAAGGGCCTGCCCTGTTGCACTTCTCTGACCTGATGAACTTCCACTTCATAATTTATTCACTTAGGTTTGTACCAGGATCTGATTAAAAACTCTGCCTCACCCACTAGACTTGGATAGGGGGTGGGGGTGCCTTGATCTCAGGATGTGTTTGGGCTACACTTGGCAGAAATGGCTAGGAAGATGTGTAGGGGCTAAGGACACCAGTAACACAAGACGCAGAGACCCAGCACCCCTCGGAGGCTCAAGATCACTGCCATTACCAGGGCTGGGGCTGCTGAGCCTGACCAGAGGTGGGAAAGGAGGCTCAGCGGGCAGTGAGCCTGCAGCCAGGCACCTCCCAGCCAGAACTGTCTCTTACCCAGGATGTCCAGCCACTCGTCCGGGGTCGGAGCTGGGGCAGGCTCGGGCTCCATGGAGGCCAAGAACTCTCGGGCCAGGGCCCCAGGTGGCTCTGGCTCCTCCAGTGGGGGTTGCCCCATGTCCTCCAGCGGCGGCAGCTCACTCAAGTCATCCTCCTCCTCGTCCTCTTCTGCATCCTCCACTCCATCTAGCACCTCAAAGTCCTCCAGTGGCGGGAGCCTGGCAGGTAGCGGGGCGGCAGGCTCAGAGCCCACGGCAGAGGGCTCTGCACAGGACGCCATGCTGCCAGGAAGAGGGGTTGGGGGTAAGGACCCTACCCGGCCCCTCCAGTACTCCCTTGCATCTCACAAGCTCACTGACTCGGAGCCTCGGTTTCCTCATCTAGACAATGGGTATAAAAACAACCCTGACTTTTCAGAATTTTACCAATTCTGTGTGTCTGGCTCTGAGGATGTGGCTCACCGACTCAGCAGCAAGTGGATCCCATTCGAGAGAGC